CAGGTGTCCCAAAATCTAATCATTTTGAGGTCTCATCAAGACCTACCAAATACCAAGACAATCCACCCAAGAGGGCCTGCATGGGGGGTAGTGATTACGAAGTACGCAAAATTTTCGCTGCCGATTACGAAACACGTTTAAGTCTCAGAGCTGATTACGACTTTATGCTTTGCGGCTAATGTTCTATTATGAATTACGTCAATTTTCGAGGAGACTGCCTACGGATTACGAAGACTAAAAGGCCTGATTTTGCCTTACGAAAAAGGGCATGCAGGTCCCCTTTGAGGTCTCATCAAGACCTACCCACCTACCAAATATCAAGACAATCCACCCAAGCCTTCTTGAGTTATCATATTTACAGACACACACACACAGACACGAATGTCACCAAAAACATAACCTAATGGTAAGATGGGCATGAAGCCAAATATATCCAGCACCTGTAGTTTTATAGACTTCCCATCTTCATTGCTAGTCTTGGACTATTTGTTTATGTGTAGTTGATAGCTTTCTAACTTTCTTTTCAAATAAACACAACCCTGTAGGTCCAGTAACTTTTATGTGGAACATCGTACTTGATCACATAAACACACAATCTCAGGGGAAACTTGAAAAAAAATTAACGAGATAGCACTACCACTGGTACTGTGTGGTAGACATAATATTGCTGGATAGTTTGTGTATCTATAGTAATATCTAAAGCCCAAATACAAGTTCAGTGTACATTTCTTCTCAAATCTATGATATAATGTATAACATAATCAACACCAAAAATTCCTCCAAGGGTATATGAATTATGATACAATGCCTGTGATTGGGTCTTTACTACGCACCATGATTGTCATTGGTCAGACAACAACTTAAGCTTGAAGGTGTGGCATTCTTCTGCACTGAAATTCCACATAAAGCCGTAATTATGGTTGACCTTTGACGAACAACTATAATTAGGCCAACCTTGAATTTATTTCAATGACTCAGTAATTGGTTTGCCACATTATAAACAACAGTTTACTACAGAAACTGTTAGAAAACCTCCCATTTGCTCCTTGTGGGTAAAATATTGCCACGCAAATTAAAAACATTTACCTCTCTTACAAGTTACAGCCCTGTACTATAGCTAAAGAGAGTCCAACCAATCCACAAAAGACAGGGTATTGAAGCAACTGCTAGAAATTACAGAGGCCAAAATGGTCTAAACCTACCCAAGAGAGCCACATGTGCTACGGTAGGTAGAGCCTTGTAGTATCTGTGCTACTTGTAGGTCCCCATACATTCCTTGACCTTGGACTTTCCCCTGGGCCATGTGTGTAGTCCCTCTGTGTGGAAAAACAGTGTACCACACTTCCTGTAGATACTATACATCATGTACATGCCAACTGTACAGTCTCAGCACCACATAACCTTCTATACATCATTTTCACATCAAACGATCAAAGTACTGTAAAGGTAGAAACTTTTGCTGTGGTGTTATTTTTCGTGGTGACTACATGCTGCAAAATCAAAACGGCACAAGTCTGTAGTACTGTATAACAAAATTGTTTCAACGGCAAATTTAAAGAACCTCTCTTAGCTTTCTACCACAAAATGTCACGACCATTGCAAAATTGAATGCATTTACAGTACCATACCTTTCTGAGAGCTCAAGTTTTCTGCCGACTGTGAAGTTCTTGGCAGACATTATTTAGGTGACCCAACATATTATCTCAACATGCTAGAAGGTACTGTATGGTACAGCTAAGAAAGAGTTACAAAATTTGCAGGGATAAATATATTACTTGATGAAATCATGAAGAAGAAACAGTGTTCTACTTAGCCTGAAATTTTTCCAATCATGACAAATTTGTTGGAATTGACCCTCTGAAATGCTATTTTCTGCATTTTGAGGGGCAAATTTTGCTGGTGGACTAAGATGAGTTAAATGACATCCCTTTTCATAACTTTACTCACCGATTTTTGTGTTTCAAAGATGACAGATTGTTCAAAATTGTCTGTCACAAGCCGCAAAATTCTGTTTTAAATGACGGAAAGACAGACGCTGGCCAGAACACTGGTATGTATAAACGGGCACATATCTCGGAGTACAGGTTCACAGTCACTTAGTAAGTGTGTCCAACGGTTAGTTGACAACTCCCGGCTCCCCTAGTCCACCTCTGTCCTTTCTTACTCAGTTCCCTGAACTTCACCCTGAACTCTACAAGCACAGATGTATATTTACTCAGACAATGAGGATGAGAGATGGCTGGGGTAATCTAACATGAAAGGCCTCTATCCGCAAATCCCCCGAGTTTAGTTTATTGCTCTTTTGTCTTCGTGCTTACATTGAGGTGAAAGAGCCACCGCTAGCGGTTAGAGCTTACATGTACGTGTGCATGCAAAGAGAGGTAATGTCTGCTATCCTTTCAGTACTGTAGAGGCAGAAATTTTTGCAGTGGTTTTATTTGATCTTTCATTGTAAAATCAACACACCTTGAATACATGTTCTGTATGTCTACTGTACTATTACTGTTACAAACGTAAAATTCTAAACTTGAGGGAAACCTGATTTTCGGGCGTATATAAATGCGAAATAAAACCACTGCAGATGTTTCAGCATTTACAGTATGGCCTGGCTTCTCTTTACATAGCCTGCTAAATATCACTTTGCAATCACAGCGATGTAAAAGAGCAGATTAAGATGACCAATCATCGTAAAGCAATTCCACCTAACGTGCCCCTAATGAGTGGAAACAGGTTGAAGACTTGTCTGATAAGACAGGCAGTGTGGTTTACAAAACCTGAGTTCCATATGTGCTCTGTTCGGCTTTACGAACATGGCTTTTGTATGAGACAGAAGACCTTATTTTCTGTGACGTTGCCGCCAGAGAAACATGGCAGACATTGCTCTGCTCTGTATTTCAATCACAGACATGATAAGATTGTATCCATCACAATGATAGCAGGTTTAGGTCCACACGCGAGGCTTTCACATAGGGCACATGGAGACCTTATTTTCCACGGACGTGGCCGCCATAGAAACATGGCAGACATTGCTCTGCTGCGTATGTCTATCAGAATCATAATATTATAAAGGCAGCATGTTCTAGGTCTGTGTGCATGGCTGTCATAATATATCAGTCAGATTGAGACCTTATTTTTTGTGACGTGGCCGCCAGAGAAACATGGCGGACATTGCTCTGCTCTGTATTTCTATGGGGGCCTGCATGGGGAGGTCCCGACAATGCTCTACGCTTAATTTGGAAACCTCTCGATTACGCTTTACGATAAATTCCAAGTGGCTACAACACATTACGTAGAAATAAAACGGTGAATAAGCTCTATGCAAAATGCGCCAACTACGCTCTACGTTGAATTAGAGCGGACCGTCTACGCTCTACGTAGAATTAAAATGGCCGATTACGCTCTACGGAAAAGGGCATGCGGGCCGCCATCTATCAGAGACATGAGGAGGTTGTATCCATCACAATGACCTGTGGCATGTGTTAGAGCATATCTAAGGCGCGACCTTGATTGACCTTCGCCCCTGCCCCTGGCACAGGTGAAATAACCAGGATGAGACCATGGCCTTTGCTGTCTTCTGTAGTAACTCTTCTAACAAATCATGCTTTTTGAAGCACGACTACCAATCCTTTCATGTATTTTCAAAGCCATGATATACTAGGCTAAATTAAAAGCAGATTTTTACATTTTCTGAAATTAGAAAAACACAAGCAAGACTTCTACATGTACTAGTAGACTATTTTGACTGGCTTTTGCAATCCTTATTAATTTAAGATGCACCAACCAGCACAAATACAGGAACCAACATATTTCATACATGTTTGTGTGCTGCTAGAATTAAAAGGTACAGTTTTTGCAATGGTTGAAAGAGTTCCGTTGTAGTACAATGTTACAAGGAAGCAATATTTTGTAGCGTCACCTATTCACAATGGAGAGGTCAAAACCATGAAAGCAAAACTACTGCAAAAGTAGCTGCATTTACAGTAGACATGCCTGGAGAGTTAATTGACTTCAATCCACGATAGACTGGTTACCACCAGGCTATCACTTCAATAGAATCTGGTAAAAGCATTCTTCTCTTGGCCCTATCCCCAAATGTGGAAGTCCTTTCAGTTTCCGAATTCCAAATGCAGCAGTTTGATTCATTCTATAGGGCCATACTAGATGCTAGTAAGTTACGTCTGACTATCGTATGTGTAATAATCCATTGCTTGATGTAATTCAATCGGGTATTACCCAATGATAATTCAGTACAGCTTCAGTACATTTACAAAAACCCGGCCCAATGCCTTGTTTAAAAATTTCCAATACTGTACCTTTTTTTCCTGTACAAGGTATAATGTAGCCCGTTAAGTGAAAGCCACTCAATATTTACCAAACAAGCGCTTGCTGAAAGAGAGACCACAGACAGGCTCAATTTGATGCCTAATTACTTCAGTGTATATGTGTAGAGCTACATTGTAGCCTGGCTGAGTGGTGATTATACTGAGGATTTTCCACCCCCAACATCTGCTTGGAGATAGCCTGGTAATCATTCCTTTACCAGCCTAATGTTAGGCATACAAATGTATTTTTATTTAGCCTTTTACTATTTATGTTTACTGAAAAAAAAGCTTTTTGTTTTTGCTACGTTTCCTCTTTTTCTTCCATTCCAAACACTGACCTTTGACCTGGCCAATGACCTGATTTGTTGACGTCTTTCACCATGGTAACTGGTGTTGGGTTACATCATGTTGCAATTTTATAGTAGGAGGGATTTATACTCCTATCTAACCATATATGCAGTATGAATCATATTTGATTTTTTGAGTAAGAATTAACACAGCAGGCCATATGCGAAGGTAAACATCATGCATTTGTTTGCTTTACAAATTTTACCTTTCTAGTTTTAGCTATTTCTTTCTGACAGTTTACATGTATCTTTCCAGCCAGTCTTTCTGTTTACTGCCATACACAGTACATGTTACTACCTGAGTGTAATTGAAACTGACATAGTTAAAGTCATGGGTGAAGAAGTTGGGCAACACTCCCAGAACCCTAAAGATATCAAGGATGGTTTGGCTACCAGCGGCTACCCAGAGGTCAGCCCTTTGGGTTTCCGTTGACTGGTGCATTTTGATGCGAGATAAAGTACACACAGGAGGGAGGGTTTTACAGAGGAAACAGTTTTACCACAAGAGTACTTCAAAGGTTCCTGGCCCCAACGTAAATTTCTGCTGGGCCAGTTGAACAAACATGTTAGAGTTGACCTTATAAACTTCACAGATGCCTGCTTGGAAGAAGTCACTGTAAAAAAAAAGTTCTCTTGGGTCCTGGAAACATGGCCATGGCCTCAATGTAGGACTCAGGTTTTGGTTGATTGTTTCTGCGTAATGCTAAGTTCCAGGCCCCCTAGCAACTTTATTTCAAACTGCAGATAACAAGCATGTTAATGCTATGGGAAAAAAAATTAATAATTTTGCAGCATTGGGAGAAATTTTCTAATTACTACGTACCACTTATCTGCCAAGATACTTGTAAGTATAGCCTTTTCAAAGACAATCATTCTCTTGTTTAGGCCATGTTGTTTTGATTAAATGGATGACATCCTTTGGGAACCCCAAAACTGATGCGAAGTGCCCCAAAAAAAGTTGCTTTCATTATGAAATCTACGTGGTCATGAAGGTTGAACAAATGACACAGAGTATGGTTTGGCGAATAATCTACTCTTCAAAGTCATTTCTTTTCATTTTCGTCTTTTTCATTTGATTTTGGCATTCTACCTCATTGGTATCCTTTTCCAATATTTTTTTTTGCAAGTTATGGTATATATTGCCTCATTTTGCAACTGTTTTGTATGATTTAAAGTATGGTTGAAAACTTTTTTCTTTTGGAAATGGCTGAAAATTCATTCGCAGGTGTATGTCATCCATGTAATCAAATCAACATGGCCTTATGGAAAAATCAGCCAGGCAGTGATGTTGTTATTGTTTGTTTGTTTATTAGACCGATCTCCATTAGTTTGTACAGTTGCCATACATACTATTCTTCCTGGAGTCGTTGACTACAAACTACTATCATCACAACATGGTAAGGCTTAACTACAAACTACATAACCACACACAACATGCAAGTAGTACCGAGAGGTCAGAGGTCGTAAAAATAAAATTTAGGCAAAGATTCAGTAATGCTAATGATGTTATGGTTGACAGTGATAGTGCTGTTGTTCTGTATGATGATTAACCCCTTGCCGTCCTAACGAAGTGTTTTTCTCAGTTTCTGCCTGACCCAGAGACACTTATTAGACTTAGCATTTTACACTTGGAGGCCATCCAGGAAAACACAGCAGACAGGGAGGGGTAGCTAGAGAAACCAGGAGGCACGCAGAGTCCTGTCAAACGTCCAAGTTATTAGGAGCCTCTTGGTGCCAGGAGTCTAGGATGAAGAATGAATTATACACCATGATAATCAATTACAACCTTGATATAGTCTGCACATGTAGGTTAAACACATTTGTATTGATCTAAACAAACAGTAAAATTCTATGGTGTCAGATCTACAAATGGGAAGCTATACTCGTACATGTAGATTCAAAGTTTGTAAAAAAAATTATTTTTTGCAAGGCCTAAGCCTTTGAAACTTTGCCAGAACTGGCATAAAAATCTTCATGCATTAGAGAGACACTCTACAGGCTTCTTACATGTGCAGGGTATATTCTAGATTTGAGTTTTGAGTAAGCCAGCCAAAATTTCATTTTCATATCAATATGTAAATTCTACACACCACCATAATGATTGATATATTATATATGTATAGTTTTTAATAGAATAAGATAGTAGGTGCTATCAGTTTTGCTCATACTTTTGATAAGTTTTATGTTCTGTATCTGTATCTGTATGTACTGTATAGCCGGTATAACCGCCGTTCTGCGTAACACACCAGCTTTGCAGGCACGCGGCGCAGCGGCAGCTGGCTACATTACACCGATCGACTTGTTACACCTAGCCCTTGAACTTCTAACTCTAGACATTGTTTAAAGCTATCTAATGGTAATGTCCCTACTGTACATGGTAACAGCGAGTTTCACTCTGTGATAGTTCTAGGAAAGAATGAATTCTTGAACACCTCAATCCTCGGTTGATAACTCTGGTACTTGAAGGCATGACTATTTCTTGTTCTCTTCTGGGCTGGTATTAGGTACTTAGTAGTTGGGGCGTCCACCAGTTTATTAGTCATTTTGTACAGTGCCAAGTTAGACTTTTACTGTCAGTTTCACTGTCAACTGAGATTGCAAAACAGATGTGAATTTGTTTGCAGATGTCAAATGACTGATGACTCCTAAAGTTAGAAACGCTGCAGCTCTTTTTGGTGAAAGACGGAGGGATCTGTTGTCAAACTAAACATCATAAAATGTTCTATTCCCTGTCAGGAGTAAACAAGAGGCATGTTATACGTCTGTAGCTATATGGGCCATCAGGGATGGATACAGTAACACCTTATCCCAGGGAGGATTATATAATGAAGTCCCTTGCCTTGAAGTAGAGCCAAACAGTGCTTAGTGCTGTGTACCAGTTTTCTGGACCGGTTCCGGACTTGTAAAGATGTGTAGGTTCAAGTAAAAAAAAAACTAAAAGTCAAGAACCGAGTGATGGCAAAATCTGTGCTGCAAAATGAAAAGAAAACATTGCCATCGGGCACAGTCAAGTGTCGGCCTCCATGTTACGTGGCCAAAGTTTTGCCCAAACAACATTGCAAGGTTGCCAACATGCAATTTTGTGTATGCCATGGGTTTAGGTCCGGACTTACAACTTACGGACCAACCTACAGCTTTTTGAACTTGAACTACAGAAATATCTGTTGCAGTACTTAAACTAAAGAAGTCCTTTGCTACACATGAGTACTGTTTAGTACTACTGTTTACTCCCATGGGTCCTTAAAAGCCGCCAACCTACAGCTTTTTGAACTTGAACTCTAGATGATCCGTAGTGGCTTAGTGGTCTCCTGAGTCCCCACCTCTATGTGAGATCACCCCTTTCCCACAACCCCTGAGTGGGGACCTCCGTCAACAGAAGGGGAGTCACTTGGGGTTCAGGCACTCAGGGGTACCCTTGGCCTTCAGAACATTAATTTGTTACATCTGGAGTCATCTTGCTGACTCCCTTTTTCCTGTTGTTAGGCCATGTTGATTTGAATCAGATTATATGGATGACATCCTCTGGGAATTGCAAAACTGATGCGAGCGTGCAAATAAAAAAAAAGTTTGGCCACAAAAAAAAGTTGCTTTCATTATGAAATCTACGTGGTCATGAAGGTTGAACAAATGACACAGAGTATGGTATGGTGAATAATCTACTCTTCAAATTCATTTCTTTGCATAATGTCGTTTTTTTTTTTCATTTGACTTTGACATTCTTCGTCATTGGTATCGTTTTCAAATGTTGTTTTTTTTGCAACTTACGGTATATATTTGCTCATTTTGCAACTGTTTTGTACGATTAACAGACCAAAAAAATACTGCAAAACTTTAAATCTACCGTACCAATATTAGCTGCCTCACAGAAAGAATTGGCAGGCCGAGAACTATCTAACCTTGGCCTGGGCAGACGTCCTACTGTCCAGGTTAACCCTGCCGAGGGGTGTTTATGTCTGAGGGAACACCAGCACACAGGTGCAGGTAATGAGGAGCAGCTCGTACTTCAGGACCCCTCCCTAGGGTGAAAATAAACTACAGACTCCTGGTATCTGTACAGTCTTGTACATGTATGGTCTCTCAGTAACTACCCTCGAACTTGGGGATCGCGTATCAGTTCAACAGCCCATGTCAGATAAAATAGTCATTTGTTGACTTAACAGTCGCATGTTGATTTAAGTTAAACAGTCGCATGTTGGTTAAACGGTCGCATGTCAGTTCAACAGTCACGTGTTGGTTAAACAGATGCATGTCGGCTAAACAGTCGCATGTCGGCTAAACAGACGCATTTTGGTTTAACTTAAACAAGTGCTTTTACAAAAGCTGACGTTTGCCGCCATTGTACTTTTGCACAAGAAAATCACATGCCACCTCTGCTAGTTTCACTGAAAATGTTGTTACCTTTTTTTTTTCCTGATAGTATAGCTTCACACATTGTGGGCAAAGGCAATTAATGGCTTATATGTAAGAAATGTGACACAAGTATACACAGATTCTAAATGTATGTGTTCAGATTGTTTATTGAATATTTGGTTTCAGGGCAAGATACAGTTTCTGGTTTTAATAATTCACTCGTGAGACATGGACTCATCCAGTATACAATCTGCAAGTTCTGCACAATGGCACATTAGTATTGAGTGCACGGTGGCACAGGCTGGTATT